CTAATTTTCCTTTTCCAGCTGCAGGTGTCAGTCCTGACCTTGGCTCTAGTGCTACAGTCCTTCCCTGTCATATCTCACCTTACAGACAGTCACTTAGACCTAGTGTGCGTGGCAAAGGACATGGTTCAAAGGACTCCCTGAGCACTGCAAAGAGGAGAATGTCCTGTGAGCAATCCAACTCAGTAAGGGAAAAATGGCTGGCTTTATAGATATCACTCATCCTCCCCTTTTCCAGTTCTGTCACACCAGACAAATTAAAATCCAGTGAAACACAGGAGCAACAGGAGCTACTCATAGAACCAAGAAACCACAAGTCTAGTTTTGAAGGCAGAAGCGAAAAAGTTAGCAGTTGAAAATAAAAATCCATGCTTGTAGCTTAATTTTTTGAGCTGTCCACGCTTACCTCAGCAGAAGAACTGATAATGGAGACCTGCATGAAAGTCCCCATCGGCAAGAAAATCAGTAAGCCCTATGCTAAGTGCAAATTGTATATCGCACCTGCAGCAAATTTCTTATTCTCATCTCCGTTCTGTACTAGAACACCATTGCTTGATTTTTCTGTTGCATCTTTGGGTTCACTTTTCCAGTCTAATAGACTTTAAATTCAGGAAGATCTTTTTTTAACTTAATATTAATCCTTAAATTGCTTTTTAAGAACGTCTTTATATTTTCTCAGTATCTGTTCCTTGACTGGAAAAGATTGTTTACTATACTTTGGTGTTTACATCTTTCAGATACTTTTTTATTTATAGCTCCTTTATTGTGGAGGACTTTTTCAGTCTTCCAGCCCTTCTCCAGCTATTAAATCATGCAGCTTTTTTTTTGTTGCTCTGCTCTGAACTCCTTTGTTTTGTCTTCCTCTATTATGTATCAGACATTAAATATAAATGTGCTCTTAAATCCCATTTTCTTTTCTTTTTAGAAGTAATTCCTTGCAAGATTTTTCATAGCTCTCAGATACGGCCTCATACTACTGTTTTAACCATATCTAATTCAAATTTATTTTTCTTTCTGTACTTAATTTATGCAACAGGCCTTTTAGAATAGCAGAAAGGAAAAAAAAATATGTAGTGCAAAAATTCTGTTTGGGGAAAAAAAGAGAAACATGTACCAACTTGCATGCAAAGGCAGTCATCTCAGCTTGCAGGCTAGGTCTTTCCTGATGCTTTCTTTGGTTACTTTGGAAAAAGTCACTCTATATATAGAGAAAGAGGAGCCTGTGATAATATTTCAACATGTCATTTCCATCTTTCTCAGTGTTTACAATCGCTTTGCTTTGCCATGAAGTTATTGCTACTTGGTTTGCCATTATTGTGTTGGTTACTGATAAAACTGTGGATAATTTTGGCAAGCTGTGCATTCATGCCAGGTCACTAGTGAAGAGAAACTCCAGCAGCAACTGACAGACAGTAAGAGCTGCAGCAGATAAGTAAATGTAAATAAAAAAGGCATTGATGGAAGCCAAAGTCCAGGAACTGACACCGACTAGACTGGAATGGCTTGGACTCCCCAAGTCATAGGTTGGGTAATCATTTACCACATTTAAAGGATAAGTCCCTGACTGCTACTTTGAGCCTATACATAGCAAAGCCTGCTGAAGCCTGACTTGACCAAGCCTGGCTAAGCCTGTGCATTCAGCTCTTGAATTATGGGGGTCAGTTGACACTTTTAGAGTAATGGCTATTGCCTGACAAGTCTGTGTCCCTATAATTTATGGTAAATGCTAGGAAAGTTGAATGTCAGTTTTAATTCCTGACTGTAAAATAAATAAATTACTTCTTTACTTTAATCCATAATTCTCAAAGGGCCTCTTTATCTAGCAGTCTCCAAGATGGTTCTGTTAAAAGGCTTTTACAAATTGTTCAAACAGCTTTTCCTTCTCCTGGTGAGTGGCTGCATTTGGCAGTTCTCTGGCCTAGGATGCTTCGTGTCTTTGGTGTCTGAAAGAATCCCCACTGGACAGATGGGGACTGAGCTGAGTTGGAAGTGAGAGATGGCTTGTCTAGAGGACTATTTCTTGAGGACAGGATCACTAACAATTTTTCTCTGGTGTTGGCGGTTATTAATCAATCTAACAGTGCACAATGATTTGATTTGGAAATGATGATATGAACTATGAGTCTCTGAGGATCATGATGTATTTGTGACTAACACCTCACATGATAAGAAAATTGACCCGAACAAGTGTTATATAGTTTTTCAGTTGAAGGTGTTTTAGTTCAGTAACAATTAACCAATTTGTTAAATTCTTCAATTAAAATGTAACCAATTAAACCAATTAAAATGTAACCACTGTTTGTCTTTGCTTAATCAGTCTAAAGACACCTCATTTCAGGCCGCAGTCAGAAAAAATGCTGGAAGTTGGAATTAGTGTTTTCTGACAAATGCACTCGCAGGACTGGCTCTGAAACTCAGGAAGTCAAGTAAATGTGCATCATTTCTGAGCAGGACTGTTTCATACTGTCAGATGCAGACAACCTCCATCCTTCCAGGGCTCTGAGGAAAGGCACAACAATACTGAGTCATGGGAGTAGCCACAAAGTTGGCCAAGGTGAGGACCTCTGGACACTGGAGGACTTCAGCAGGTTTTAACCGATTCTTGTACCTGCACGTCCCAGCAGTGTGTGCCAGGCCCCTCCCTCCATCCAGGCAGTCTTTTCAGTCCGTCCCCTGCTTCCTAGCCTGCATCTCCTCTATTGCCTTGTCTTCTTTGCTTCACTTCTGTCTCCTGTCCTTTCTCCGATCCTCACCAAAGGAATGACAGAATATTTTGATACCATCATCATGGCACCAGCACTTTTTGCTTTGACTCTGTGTTTTACTCTTTTCATCTGCCCCTCGCTGCTCTCTCCAAACTATAGAAATGAGAAGTATCTCTGCAGTTCCCAGCTCCATGGAGTCCTGTTCTTGATTGTCTTGTATCAAAATCCTGCATATTTCAAAATCTCAGTGTTGTCCAAGAGCAGAGATACTTGCTTTTGCCCATGTCTGTATAGGAATTACTTTTAAAATAGCAGCAACCACAAGTGAACAAAAGTTTAGTTTTACTTTTCCTATGTTATAAACCCTAGGTAGTGAAAGATAGTTCTTGCAGACTCCTCTTCTGAGAAACAGATCTGCTGTTCCACTCATGCCTGGCATGACACTAACACACTCCAGAAATATTTACAATCTTGTAGTTCAAAAATGCTGTATTATTTTAGATGTAGATTAAAAATGTACTGAAAGAAACTTTTACTAAAAATGTACTGAAAGAAACTTTTACTACTTGTTTTGAAATGTACGTGTTATTCCTTGCTGCAGTCATCAGCAGTGCTGTGACTTTCACGCAAACAAAGCCAAAAGAAAAGAGATTGCTTGATTATAATTTTGAGAAGAAACTTCACCAATTAACCCAATACCTGTGAAATGCAAGATTAAATGAGGAGTGTTGCCCTGTCCTGTACCAGGCTAGCCAAAAAGAATCAGTATCACATCTGGGTCTTTTAAAACACGCTCTATGGAGACAAGAAGAACATGCTGCACAGAATCTTCTGCTGTGATCTAAATGCCCACATCCAAAATAAGCTGCTGCCATAAGAGCTCCTGAGTACACTCTAATCTTAGCAGGGCACAGGTGTAAAACCCTATGAGATGCACCAGCAGTGCCTGCGAGAGCAGTACAAACTGGACTAGAGAATTACTTGTGCTTTACAACATAAGACTGGAAGACAACAAACAAGCCATGAAGAAAACAAGTCCAGAACAAATAGTCTGCAAAACAATGCCCAAAAGTCAGTTGCATAATAAACCACTTAGCAAGTACTAGAAGCTTTCTTCCTAATCCATCTGTCACATGTTTTCATAGCTGAAAATAATTAACTGCTCACTATTGCTCAACAAGTAGGGGTTTATTTGAAATCACTTAATAACAGAAGACAAGATACTGACAATTTCATCTGGTGTCTGAAAACAGAACTTAATTGTCCTAATTTCTGTATTAGAGAGACCAGATTCAGGGGCAAGGAAAGAAAGGCTTTTAAGATGGAAGTTACGGTTTGGGTGGAAGAGAAATATAGAAGAAATTCAGAAGAAATTTGCTAAAGCATTGCATGGTGGTGTTTGATGATAAGAGAATAAGGCATTGACATTGGGCAGAAATATTTAGGGCACAATAATGCTTAAGTGTTAATGATATAGGGCAGAAATGCTTAGGTCTTAGTGACATTGTTTAATTTTAGGCCTCACTACTTTGTATAAATAATGCATGCCTTACTAACAATTATGCCCTTGAAGAGGAGTTAACAGATTGATAAAAGCGGAACATCCAGCCCAGAAGGTGCCAAAAGCTGGATGACTGCTGAAGAAGTATGAAGTTAACAAAGATCGAGGGTAACTAGCAAAAAGGTAAAGGCAGCAGGGGGAAATCACGACCACTGACCCCATTCAGAACCAAAAAGACTGCACCCCCAAAGCTTGCGAGTATGCGTAGTTAAGTAAGGAAGAAGTATACCTTTAAGAAAAGCGTGTAACGCAATGAACCAACCAGAATGTTATGAGTGATTTATTTGGTTTTGTAAGAGTATACAGTCCTTGTGATTCTGCTAAGCAGTGTGCCAGCTTTGTAGAATTATCACCTAGCACCTATTTCTGCACAAATATGCAATAAAGAAAATACCTCTGCTCTGTATCTATATTGGTGTATCTCACACCAGGTAAATGAACCCACTTTTGGGACAACAGTTTTGGCTACCCAGATGGGAGTGTGCTGACAGCCTTGCCTGGACAAACAGCATCATTCTGTCACTCTCTAATATGGATTCTAAAATATGTATGTATTAGCACTAAAAATGGAAAACAGATCATTAAACTTTTGTTGGGACTTATCAGTTCATCTTTCCAGGTGAACTTAAGAACCGAAGAGTAATATATTGTCCCTATCCCTACTTCTCTCTTTGTGTCCCTGCAAAACAACATAGCCACTGCTGAATTTCACCCAGATACCATGCTCCTTTCTTCTGCTACAGCATGGTGGATTAGATCTCTTCAGGACCTTTTTAAAAAACACACATGGGTCTGAGCTTTGAAGTTCCTTTCCTTGAACTCTGAGATTTCCAGGAAGGACTTTCCTTTTGTCTCCGGAGGAATGAAAACAATGTAGTGTGCAGTGCAGTGCAGACACAGACCACAAGCAATGGGACATAGCAGAAATGTGCTAGACTTTTCTGAGGAGGAGTATCTCAAAATGTATTTTTCTGTCTTTCTCTCTATATATAATTGTATAGAACGGGGATCCACAGCAGAAAATAAGACAGGACTGAATACTGTGACGTTCTGCTCGCTTTCGCTTCAGGAATCGCCTTAGGGAATGATGCCAGAGTCTGGCTAAGGGGAATTACATCACATCTTTAGTCCCAGCTGTTCTCAGCTGAGGACAGAGGAGGAATATCAGTCATCCATGTCCCAGATTAGTTTCGTTCCAGCCTCACATCAGAAATTACCGTAGGCAACATGGAGGAAGTTTGGTTTAGAGGAGTTATGACAACCTTATTCATAAAGGTCCTACTCATGGTAGTGCTATCTTGTTGTGTGCCTGCAGCTTGCAATATTCCAGGCCCTGTCTCTTTTCATGGTCACTATCAGAGCCTCTTTCTTGCATAAAATACTACAAAGATGCGGGTGAGTGTTTTGCCTTGTGAACCTACCACAATGAATGGAAAGGCTGTTCCAACAAGAAATAGGTTGAACCAGAGCACAGAGCCACAAATCATGTAAGTAGCTGGCCGGGACATTTGATCAAAAACCTGTGTGTGCAGAATTCCTGTTACACCAGCTGGAAAAAGAAACGGCAAGAAAATTTGTAATACTGTTGACATTATATTAAAAACAAGAGAACACATGTTAACTAGTAAACCCAACATGAAGTATATGAGAACAGTAAATTATTATTCAGTAAATTATTCTCACTAGTCAACAATGCCAGAAGAAGTAGTAATAGGGATTAACTGCAATGGGGAAGTTTTAGGTTAAATATTAAGGACTTGTTAATTATTCAAACTGTCTCATGTTAGAATGGCTCCCAGCAAAGGTTTTGTAATCCACATTATTCTTAACAGGACCCAACTGGGAGAATGGTTTATAATTAATTCAACCCTATGGCACTGTAGGGACTAGGACAAGAAATTTCTGCCAACTCATGTAGCATGTGACACTGGCAGCTTGATTCTTTTCTTACCTGCCTTTCTTCAAACTCACGTAAACGAACAGAGCCTTGAATCTACTTACGCACTGCGCAAACATCTGCACACACACAGCCTATGTACTGCCCCTCCAAGCACAGAAGCTAATGGATTCTGCCAAGAAAATGCATGTTAGCAGGCTAACAAGTAGATGTGGAAATTGTGCTTCCAGCTATGTGCAAGCAAATAATCAGATGACATAGCTGTCAATCTCTAGTGTTGAAGTGAAGCATTAGAAATACTGGTCTACAGTCCTAAAGGATTGGGTGCAAATCAAAACTTTGTTGTACTCTTAAGACAAAAATCACCTCCAAGTGCCACCACAAGATGGCTGTAAGGAGAAACAACACAGAGAATGGCACGGACTGTCCCTGCACAGCACTGACTTACCACGGGCATGCAAGCCTCCATGAAAGAGCTGAAAACTGCTGGCAGAAATTGCCTCATTCCTTTGAATGTGCTGTGGCTAAAGAAGGTCTGAGAGGTTCCATAAGCTGCTTGAACACATCACCAAGCCGCTGCAGTACCCAAAAGTTTCAGTGAAAGCACTGAGGGAACTGAGCTGGTCCGATTCCAAAGCTCAGAATGTAGGCGAAAATGCAGGCCATGCTGAGATAAGGCATCCAGCTAATCTGAGTCTACAGCCACAGAGACCAATGGAAAACAAGTGACGGAGCTTACACTTATTTGCCACCACTAAACATCCCAGCCCTATAAAAAGTAAGGCCCAGCTCCATTCTACTTAAATAACTAAGTTTGTTACCTGCTGGCTCAGAGCGACAATGAAGACAACGGCCCATCCTGTCATGAAGATATATCCCCTTAGGAGCAGTGCCCTCCAACCAGCGCAGTCTATGAACATGTTGTGCACAAAGTAACACAGTGAAATAAAGACAGAGATTTAACTTGTGTTTATATTTCCCACCTGCTCTCTCTTCCACTTCAATACTCCGTGCCTAGTTTGCTCTACAACTACTTTAAGGATGTTGTCCACTTCTTAGCAAAAAAAAAGAGAAGTGAAAGGAAAGAGTCTGCTGGCAGGAGCCAGGCAAGAAGTGTATTCAGGGAAGATGAGAATGTCCCAGCTGTAGCCTAAACTCCACCACCATCCATACTGACATGAAACAAGAGAGTTTTACACTTTTCAGAGATTTCAGACAATGATGACGATGTAGTGCCTGACAAAATACTTCTGCATTAACCTGTCTGGACATGAGTGCTGAGAGATTGCCTGGCTGCTGTGCATAAAGAGCTTCCTTGGCATGAAAAGCAATGTAAATTCCAAGTTTGTAATTAACAGCCTCCTCGCTGTCAACAGAGTCCACATGTCAGCAGAGTGCATTAAGAGTCTCATACAAGTGACAGACATGATCAGTTCACAGCTCCCTGTGCTGATTATAACATAAGGGATTTTGTCCTGAGGAATTCCAGTGTCTTGGAATACATAAGCTGCATAAGAATACATCTAGGGAGAGAAGAGAGGAGAAAGCAGTATAGGAAAATGTCTGAAAATACATCCCATTGTTTTTCCTGAAGGATCACACGGAGAATGACTAATGTGCTGTCATACAGGCTATTTTGGCAGCATCCCTCTGAATCTTGCCATAATGGGCAGGCGTACTTTGGGAACCAAGCATCTGAGGTTTGAAGATCTCCACAGGCAGAGCAGAACACTTTTTGTTCTTTAAACCCAAGAGCTTGCACCCATGTCTTGCGATACAGTGCTGACGCTGATTGCTGTGTCTACCAGGTTGCTTACCGAATCATTCTGCATGGGACTGCTCAGCACAATGATACTCACCAGCTGCCACGTCAAAGCTAGATTTTGGAAGAGCTCCCAAGTGTTCTTTGCTCTCTGACCTTTACCAGCAGCCTGTTCAGCCAGCATCTCTCCAGCTCTGCACTCAGGTCACTGGTGCCTCTGAGCTTCTGCAGTGCTGCAAGGACAAGGGAAAGTCTTAACCTGAGCTTCACCTTCAGTTTGCCTGCTCTGCAGGGTGAAGGATCGAGCAGCAAGTGATGGCTGCAGAAAGCTGTAGCACAGAGTCTGTGATCACGATTTTGCTTTCACAGAGATGGCCAGTTGTGGTGCAGCCACTTGAAGAGTTTGGAGGAAAAGGAGTGCAAATCCCTCACCACTGTTTCACAAGAGAGTATTTCCAACCAGTGCCATTTCAGCACCCATGCTTCTGACTCAGATCTCAGGTAACTTCCCTGGGAAATGCAGACAATTAAGATGTTCTTGGTACACAGCACATATTTACCAGAAACTAATTCCAGCTGCTCTGTATACTGGGATTTGTATGCTACAAATCTAAGCAAATCCCTTAATATGAATTGGCTTCAGACTTGGTCCCGAGCTCTTCAACCAGCATTTACTTCACTTCGTAGTTACATACAAAACATATTTGCCATTGTGAACATGAGTCATATCTTTTGACCCTATCATTGAGCAAAAAAGTCTTTTGTAGGAAGATGCCTTTCAGTTACCTCAATGATCAAAAATACTTTAGATTATAGAATGTTCTTTAGTTTGGAAGGAGGAAATGATCATATTTGGTACTTATCTGGCACTTCCTACATGTAAAAGTTGTGGCACCATTCTCAAAACACTGGAACCCAAGTCTGTGCACAAAAGCAGGATGCAAAAAAGCGTACATTCATCTGTGTTCAGAACTACTGTTGTTGTTCATACAAACACATACCCAACCACCTCCTGGGCACTATTTTGGAGGGTAGCAGATAATGCAGTTAGAAACACTGATGGCACCACATATTTTGTACAGACCAAATATGGTCCTCTGGATTAGAAAAACATTATCCATATGACTAATGACACAGCCATGGTATTGGGCTTAAAGTTTTTATGTGCATCTAAGGAGGCTGGCAGAGTCACCGAACAGAATATTTGTCTTGGAAAAAAGTCTACATTTCAATCTGCTTTGGACTGAACATGCTGGACTGTATGTTAATAATATGCAATCAACTTTCTCACTATTTATCTGCCCAGTCAGCAGATCTCACATCCTCAGTGAGAGGCTAACAGTCACCCTAAACCCACAAGAGATGCAGAATTCTTCATCTCCATGGTCAGACAAGAGGTATCTGGGACTTTCAGGGAACTGAGGCAGAGCTGTGAGCTGGATCAGGGCAGGCACCACATTGCGAGCTAAAAGGAATAGCTGGCTCTCCTCCCCTCCTAGTAGCTGACTAGCGAAAAAAAAACAAAACAAAACATAATTTGCACAGTACATTTTATAACCTGGCAAGAGCCCAGCATCCTCTGCTGCATGTGGGCACTGGAAAAGAAAAAAAAGAGAGAAGTAGTAAAGAAAAAAAAAAGATAGAGGAAAGGTTTGATAAGTATAAACTGGGCTTCTTGCTCTACATTACCTGAATCCAACAACCTGCCCCAGCACCAATTCCAGGGCTGTAAATGGTGCAGAGGTCAAAGCCACAGCTCCTCTGAGCTTTGGAGCACTTGGCGACAGATATATGGGCTGAATGTTCATGCTTATACCCAGGCAAGACAGACAAATGCTGACCTCAACTTGTAGACAGAGGCAATGAGGACAAACACAGTCAGCCACCCCTCGAGGTTGCCAGCTGGACTCGTCTGTTGCAGTCCATGTGATGACTGATCTACCTGTGCTTACTAGTTACCCAAACCTTCAATTTCACTCTTATTCATTGTATAAGCTACTAAACATACATCTCCATACTCATAAGTAGTACTGGGTAATGAAACTGAAACCTGCCAGGGCCTCAGTCCTATGGTCTTCTGAGCACCAAATCCAAGGTTGTAAGTGATGCTTCCCTCTAGCCCTCATTTTTTGGGAAAGAGCCACTTGTATGGATCATTATTTCATTGGAAGAACTTCTATAAAAGTTTTAATGTTGGTGCTCATGCTGGTGAGCGACTGATAACATTCTTACAAGCAGATAGGGATCGATTTTCAACTCAGTTTCCCCCAGGGCTCCTGTCCCTGCATGCAGAGTGCACATGTGCATTACACAAAAAAACCTGCCTGTGTATGCTTTAAAAAAAGGTCCTTAGGAGCAAAATCTAAAATCTGTACATACAACTTCCTCATTCATGGACATGTGTGTGGTCAGACTACAGGATTAATTGCTTTAATATCTTGGACCATTCCTATTTAAATTTCTTCTATTTCTAACTGATACTTGTTATCATGCTTGTCCTTTTACGTTTCTCATGTTGCCGTACCTGCATTCATGCCAGTAAAAAATCTGCTGAGCACGATCATTTCAAAGGATTTTGCCATTCGACTGAATCCTGACAAGACTGTGGCTATGATCACAAAGACATTGCTCAGCAGCAGGGGCGTCTTCAGAGAGAAAAGACACAGTTGTGAGCACATGTGTGCCAGGTTTAGTTATCAGATAAAACATTTCACATGGCAGATTCAACCAGCCATGCCTGGAAGCTCAAGGTGGGCTGCTCAGCTCTGCCACAGAACATCCTGGTTAC